TGGTGGATTAGATAAAGGGAATGAGGGAACGAAAGAACCAAGAGAAGGAGAAATCAGGACTTCAACTTAAGCTATGGTAGGTAGGTATATATTGTTTATTAGACATACAAGAGAAGGTACAAGTTGCCAGTTGGTTTTATGAACCTGGCATTATACAAAGGACTGAGGGCTGGAGATACAGGTTATATGTGGACAGCTACATCTCACATGCGTAGGAGGATGGATAAAATGTAATAGAATATTAGCATTGGGGATTATGGATGATTCGAGTTTCCTTCTACTTTCCTGATAAAAATGTATTATTGTTATTTTTATGGGGGGGGGGAGAGGTTTTTTCGCTATAGGGTGCATGCGCTCACCAGACAGACAGAGACAGAAAGCGAGAAATCACCCCCCAGGGGGGATGGTCATGCCGCAATCCCTTCTCCATTCTCCTCTCGGGATCTTAGGCATGCATGCACACGCGCCCGGCGTGAGTTTTAAGCCACCGGGTCCGGGACGCGAACCGTGGTCAACTACGTGGGAGTCCAGCGACATAGCCATTATGCCAACTGCTGGTTCCCCAGAGCCTTACGTTCTTGAAGGGATAGAAGTTCCCTCCCACAAAGCCACCAACAATGGGAAAGGAAAATGAGTACCTCATCTGTCAGATATCTCCCTCCTGAGCCAAGCTCTCAAATGTGTTTGGTTCATTCTGTATTTTCCAGTCAGTTCTGCCATTCTGCACAGCAGCATTTTCAGGCTGGCCCTACTCTTCTCAAAGTTTAACTTGTGTACAAACTTCTGTATTCCTGCTATCTGCAGGAATTTCTGTATGGCTGCCCTGCAGGTGGCACAGATTTGTTGTTGCCAGACCCAATCCTGCATTGCTTCCCTCAGGCAGTCCCTTCTCCTGGGGTGTGTGTTGGGGGATGGCACCATCACAGGCCCTTGGTCATTATTTGAGATAGTAGGGTCCTTCTCTCTCATGCCCATTTCTACCCATTCAGTCACTTGCTGATTTGTATCAATTTGTGTCCTCTTTTTCACATCCATCCATTTTTCTTTCAGTCCATACCTCAGTAGTCCATACCACCAGCTTTTCATTGCTATTTGTAGCTGTTGGCTCTTAATTGGCCTCCCCACCTCCATCTTGCCTCTTGTAGTACTCTCTTCTCTGTATTTCAGCCAGAGTAGTCTTCCAAAAACAACACATTACTCCTCTTCTCCAGCTCTTCAGAGACTTCTCATTACTCTTAAGATAAAGCCCAGATGACATGACAAGTATGTGCAGTTGTCTGAGATATGGCCCTGTGCAGTCCTCAGCTAGGGGGCAGCAGCAGCAGCCTGTGGGCCAAATTGGGCTGGCCACCTCATCTTGTATGTTCCACAAGTTAAGAAAGGTTCAACGTTAAAATATTTTTTAATAACATTTATTTTAGGGCCACAGGTAGTGTAGTGGTGAAGATGCTGGACTCCCTCATGGCCAACCACAGTTCAAGTCCCAGACTCAGAGGCTTGAAACTCACTGGGCTCATATGCATACATGCCTACAATCTGAAAGGAGAATGGAAAAGAAGGGATTGCGGCCTGGCCATACCCCAAGAGGGTGATTTCTCACTCTCTCTCCAGCGAATGCACATGCCCTATTGAAAAAAAATCTCTCAAAAAATAATATTTCATGGCACATGCAAGTTATATGAAATTAAAACTTCAGTGCCCGTTAATAAAGTTTATTGGCACCGGCACACTTATTTGATTGTTAATGATTGCTTTCACATGACGTAGGGTTAAATAATTGTGGCAGAGACTGAATGTTCCCCAGAACTTAAAATGTTTACCACCTAGCCTTTTACAGGAAAAATTTCCTGAACCCTGCCTGTACTCATGTGCACCTTTCTTCTGATTCTGAGTCTTAGTCTCCTATCCTTCACCTACACTGCTCTTCCCATCCACCAACCTTTGCACAAACTCTGCTTTTGCTTTCACTCCCCTGCAATATGTCTTCTTTTACGTGGCTCACTCCTCGTCTATTAGATCCCAACTCCACTTCCTTTCTCTGAGGAAGCTGTTTCAGAACACTGCAGTTCAGAGGAGGTGCCTCTCTCCCCTTTCCTCCCCCACTCACATCCATAGCCTGATTGCCCTCCCTACCCAACTCTGACTCCATGGCTAGTCCTTATCACAGCCTCTTTGCAGCGCACTTACCTCCTTCATCCCTTGCTCCTTCCCAGGTTTTTCACCCCAGCCTTGTAAAGGGCAGCTCAGTCACCGGGCCCCAGGGCAGTAGAAGGCACACAGCCTCACTAGCACAGTCCCTTTTGATGGGACCAAAGGTCTCAGGGTCCTGGGCTGCCCTCAGTCCTGCACCTTACCTAGACCCCTCACTCTCCATCCTCAGGCCATGCTGGCCTCTCACCCCCTACGCCAGCATCCCCCTCTCTCCCCACTCATGTTGCTTCCTGTTCACTTGGAAAAGAGCAGCAGTCAGAAGTTTTCTTCCTCATTCTCCTCTCAAGAGCCTGTCAGATTTGCTGCCTCCACTTCTCCATGTCCTGCCCAGTGGAAGAACTGCCCACATCCCTTTGGAGTAAGTTAGAGAACAAGGGCCTCTTGCCATTCTTCACTCTCCTATCCTAACATTTTTTGCCTTGTCTAAATCATTCCTGTAAGCAAACAAAAATGCTGTAATATGAGTTATCTTGAAGCCTTTTCTTGACCACAGGGCCTCATTTTCTCTGCTTTTGCCACAGCCTTTCCCTTAATGTTTGTCAAACACTCCAAGCATGCTCCTGCGTCAGAGTCACGGAACTGTTCCATAAACGACCCTCCTGGGCTGGGCGAGCTCCTCCAGATACAGTGCTCACATAGCTCCCTCCAACATTCGTTCAGGTCCCTGTTCACACTGCCTCCTTGGAGAGACTTTGACAACATTTTTTTTTTCTTTTCTTTTCTTTTCTTTTTTTTCCCACAGGGTGTGTGTGCTCACCAGTGGTGGGGTGGGCAAAGTGAGAAAGCAACCCCTAGGAGGATGGCCATGCTGCCATCCCTTCTTCAGGGAATTTGGGTCTTAGTCTCCCATCACGTGTGTACGCGTGCCCAGTGTAAATTTCAAGTCACTGGGTCCAGTACTTGAACCAAAGTCAGCCATGCAGGAGTCCAGCGCCGTAACCACTATGCTACCTTGTGACTATTATATACATATTTCCTCTGTTATACTCTCCCCTTGTCCTACTACATTTTTTTCCTAGCATGTATCACCACCTAAAATGGGTATTTATTTACTATTTGCAACTTTCCCACCAAAATAAAGACTCTGTGATGGCAGTGACCTTGTCACTTCTGTTCACTGCCAAGTCTCAGTTGCTAGAACCATATGTAGCCTATCAAATACTTGTTGGAAGTAGGAATAGAATAAAGGAAGCTTACTGGGCTTCAGTTTCTAAATAATACTGAGGGATCAGCAGCATCAAAGTTCTGACTTTGTGTCTCCCCTACTTTGACTTCAGTGGTAACAGATTCCATTTTAAAGCTTGCTTCCCTCTTGACAGGAAGGGACTTGGACAGTTTCAATCTTCGTATCTGTATCCTACTAGGGGTCAGCAAGCTTTTTGTATAAAGAGCCAGATAGGAAGTAAATATTGTAAGAATTGCAGGCCTTATATATATAGTCCTGCTGCACCTATTCAACTCTGTTGTACTATGAAAGCACCCACAGACAGTTTGTAAACAAATGAGCGTGTTGTGTTCCAGTCAAATTATTTACAAAAACAAGCAGCAGGCCAGACTGAGCCTGAAGTTATAGTTTGCTAACCCCTACCCTCAGCCATCCAAAAAGAGCTAAGGTCTTTTCTTGCAGCTCTCTTAGAAGAAAGAGAAGGCTTTGCTTTCCAAAGTTCCCAACAACTGTCCCCTTTTAACTTCTTGGCCTGAATTTTGTCTAAGATCAGTTTCTGTGGTAAGTGGACTGAGGCTTTCTCACTGATATAGAATACTCATGGCCATTCTGAAGCTGCAGGTGACAGTTTTCCAAAGCTCATGGGCTGCTTGGGGCCAGGAAATTACTAGAACAGAACTATGCCAAATAGGAAGGGGACACAAGGAATAGATGCTAGGTAGACACCTAAATAAGATCTGCTGTGTAGAGTTGATTGTGGCGTGTTACAGTACGTGTTTGTGCAACTGTTGTCCTCCTAGAATGTGAGCCCCTCAAGGTCAAGCACCACACCACTTGATTTGTTTAATAGGAACGTCAGCTTGCACCTTGTACAGAACTTGAGTTCCATTAAATTGAAAGTGACTCTCTTCCTCGGCGCTGCCTGTGGAGGTGGCGGCCATCTCTTACCCGGCATCACGGCTGCCCTCTGGCCCCTCGTGAAACCCAAGATCGTCAAAAAGAGGACCAAGAAGTTCATCCGGCACCAGTCAGACCAATATGTCAAGATTAAGCGCAACTGGCGGAAACCCAGAGGGATTGACAACAGGGTGCGGAGGAGGTTCAAGGGCCAGATCCTGATGCCCAACATCGGTTATGGCAGCAACAAGAAAACGAAGCACATGCTGCCCAGCAGCTTCCGGAAGTTCCTGGTCCACAACGTCAAGGAGCTGGAAGTGCAGCTGATGTGCAATAAGTCCCACTGTGCTGAGATCGCCCACAACGTCTCCTCCAAGAACCGCAAGACCATTGTGGAACGGGCAGCCCAGCTGGCCATCAGAGTCACCAATCCCAACGCCAGGCTGCGCAGTGAAGAAAACGAGTAGACGGCTCATGTGCACACTGTTTGTTTCTAAATAAAGCCACAAACACCCCCCCAAAAAAAAGAAAGTGGCAAGAATCCATTAAATTGAAAGTGGCAAGAATTCTTCGCTTATGAAGACTACCATCTTTTTGTTTGTTTTATAAGGATTTAATAACATAAGTGCATGTGATTCTTCAAAATGCAATTTTAATTTGTTTCACTGTTGATTAAAACTTTTTTTTTTAGTTCTTAAGAGATTAAGCTGAATTTTCTTTTCTTTAGGTTCACAAAAAGGATTCTGGCTTTTGGCGAGATTTTGGCTTTGGGATGACTTGTCAATATCGATCAGATTTCCTGGCTATTGGTATGTATATCTTACATTTAAGAGTTGTAGTTTATCTATTTGCTGTAAACCTTATGGCATTTGTGTAAAAGGTCTCAGATTTTAGTTTTCCTTTTGGACTATGAGTATGTGATGTCAGCTAAAAGTTGAGATATAAAATGCAAAGTGGATTAATTAATGTTTTTGAATGGCAAAGATGAGGCCATAAAAATAAAATGATGTATTTATTTATGCTCTAAAACAAAACACCTCTAGTTTTCAAAAGCATTTGTTTCTCACATTTGCAATTGTTGGGAATGCTCTTACAAAAGATCTCTGTCACTTTACCTTGTGCTTATGAGTTGTTACAGCTGCAAGTAATCTGGGATTATCTAGTCTAAGGGCTTTCATTATTTTTAAATTTAGGAATGACACCCCCTTTAATTTGTGTATTGAACTGTTACGTAAAATCCCAGTATTTAAGACAGTTGCAAAAAGAGCTTCTCTTTATTGCTCTGATTGAAGTTGGAGTTGGGGACTTAGAGTACTGGTTTAGAAGTCCATTCCCCTAAACCCAGAGATAGCCTGTGAACTACTTGGTCTAATTTTCTTGCCCCATCACAGCTTCAGTTTTACCCATCAAAAAATAAAGTGTCAAAGAATAAGACTGAGGGACCAGCAGTTGGCATAATGGCTACGTCACCAGACTCCCATGTAGCCGACTGCGGTTCGAGTCCCGGACCTGGTGGCTTAAACTCATACCAGGCACATGTGCATTGTGTGCCCAAGATCCTGAGAGGAGAACGGAGGAGAAGGGATTGTGGCATGACCATCCCCCCTGGGCGGGGGGGTGATTTCTCACTCTCTCTCTCTCTGACTCACTCTGTCTTCCTGGCAAGCACATGCACCCTATACCAAAAAAAAAAAAAAGAGTAAGACTGAAACCTAATTCTGTGTCTCCTGATTCATTCTGTGGTTACTTTTTCATAGCATAGTAGAACTCATAGAATATATGTTACATAAGTTCTAAGCCCATATTACATTCTTTTTATAATTTTCCTTTTGTTTTGGAAATCCTCTAACCTTGTCTCTTTGCCACTGTGACATCGAAGAATAGAAAGTTAGGAAATAACAATAAAAAGACTGTTAAACAAAACCAATAATCTTTCTCCTAATTTCTTGCTTAATAAAACAATAAACATTCACTATCCCTCAAAAACAAAATTGTTTTTTCCTTTAATGACTGAGCATGAGTGCACATACATATGAGAGAGAGGGAAAGAACTCCAAGCATGCTCCTGCGTCAGAGTCACGGAACTGTTCCATAAACGACCCTCCTGGGCTGGGCGAGCTCCTCCAGATACAGTGCTCACATAGCTCCCTCCAACATTCGTTCAGGTCCCTGTTCACACTGCCTCCTTGGAGAGACTTTGACAACATTTTTTTTTTCTTTTCTTTTCTTTTCTTTTTTTTCCCACAGGGTGTGTGTGCTCACCAGTGGTGGGGTGGGCAAAGTGAGAAAGCAACCCCTAGGAGGATGGCCATGCTGCCATCCCTTCTTCAGGGAATTTGGGTCTTAGTCTCCCATCACGTGTGTACGCGTGCCCAGTGTAAATTTCAAGTCACTGGGTCCAGTACTTGAACCAAAGTCAGCCATGCAGGAGTCCAGCGCCGTAACCACTATGCTACCTTGTGACTATTATATACATATTTCCTCTGTTATACTCTCCCCTTGTCCTACTACATTTTTTTCCTAGCATGTATCACCACCTAAAATGGGTATTTATTTACTATTTGCAACTTTCCCACCAAAATAAAGACTCTGTGATGGCAGTGACCTTGTCACTTCTGTTCACTGCCAAGTCTCAGTTGCTAGAACCATATGTAGCCTATCAAATACTTGTTGGAAGTAGGAATAGAATAAAGGAAGCTTACTGGGCTTCAGTTTCTAAATAATACTGAGGGATCAGCAGCATCAAAGTTCTGACTTTGTGTCTCCCCTACTTTGACTTCAGTGGTAACAGATTCCATTTTAAAGCTTGCTTCCCTCTTGACAGGAAGGGACTTGGACAGTTTCAATCTTCGTATCTGTATCCTACTAGGGGTCAGCAAGCTTTTTGTATAAAGAGCCAGATAGGAAGTAAATATTGTAAGAATTGCAGGCCTTATATATATAGTCCTGCTGCACCTATTCAACTCTGTTGTACTATGAAAGCACCCACAGACAGTTTGTAAACAAATGAGCGTGTTGTGTTCCAGTCAAATTATTTACAAAAACAAGCAGCAGGCCAGACTGAGCCTGAAGTTATAGTTTGCTAACCCCTACCCTCAGCCATCCAAAAAGAGCTAAGGTCTTTTCTTGCAGCTCTCTTAGAAGAAAGAGAAGGCTTTGCTTTCCAAAGTTCCCAACAACTGTCCCCTTTTAACTTCTTGGCCTGAATTTTGTCTAAGATCAGTTTCTGTGGTAAGTGGACTGAGGCTTTCTCACTGATATAGAATACTCATGGCCATTCTGAAGCTGCAGGTGACAGTTTTCCAAAGCTCATGGGCTGCTTGGGGCCAGGAAATTACTAGAACAGAACTATGCCAAATAGGAAGGGGACACAAGGAATAGATGCTAGGTAGACACCTAAATAAGATCTGCTGTGTAGAGTTGATTGTGGCGTGTTACAGTACGTGTTTGTGCAACTGTTGTCCTCCTAGAATGTGAGCCCCTCAAGGTCAAGCACCACACCACTTGATTTGTTTAATAGGAACGTCAGCTTGCACCTTGTACAGAACTTGAGTTCCATTAAATTGAAAGTGACTCTCTTCCTCGGCGCTGCCTGTGGAGGTGGCGGCCATCTCTTACCCGGCATCACGGCTGCCCTCTGGCCCCTCGTGAAACCCAAGATCGTCAAAAAGAGGACCAAGAAGTTCATCCGGCACCAGTCAGACCGATATGTCAAGATTAAGCGCAACTGGCGGAAACCCAGAGGGATTGACAACAGGGTGCGGAGGAGGTTCAAGGGCCAGATCCTGATGCCCAACATCGGTTATGGCAGCAACAAGAAAACGAAGCACATGCTGCCCAGCAGCTTCCGGAAGTTCCTGGTCCACAACGTCAAGGAGCTGGAAGTGCAGCTGATGTGCAATAAGTCCCACTGTGCTGAGATCGCCCACAACGTCTCCTCCAAGAACCGCAAGACCATTGTGGAACGGGCAGCCCAGCTGGCCATCAGAGTCACCAATCCCAACGCCAGGCTGCGCAGTGAAGAAAACGAGTAGACGGCTCATGTGCACACTGTTTGTTTCTAAATAAAGCCACAAACACCCCCCCAAAAAAAAGAAAGTGGCAAGAATCCATTAAATTGAAAGTGGCAAGAATTCTTCGCTTATGAAGACTACCATCTTTTTGTTTGTTTTATAAGGATTTAATAACATAAGTGCATGTGATTCTTCAAAATGCAATTTTAATTTGTTTCACTGTTGATTAAAACTTTTTTTTTTAGTTCTTAAGAGATTAAGCTGAATTTTCTTTTCTTTAGGTTCACAAAAAGGATTCTGGCTTTTGGCGAGATTTTGGCTTTGGGATGACTTGTCAATATCGATCAGATTTCCTGGCTATTGGTATGTATATCTTACATTTAAGAGTTGTAGTTTATCTATTTGCTGTAAACCTTATGGCATTTGTGTAAAAGGTCTCAGATTTTAGTTTTCCTTTTGGACTATGAGTATGTGATGTCAGCTAAAAGTTGAGATATAAAATGCAAAGTGGATTAATTAATGTTTTTGAATGGCAAAGATGAGGCCATAAAAATAAAATGATGTATTTATTTATGCTCTAAAACAAAACACCTCTAGTTTTCAAAAGCATTTGTTTCTCACATTTGCAATTGTTGGGAATGCTCTTACAAAAGATCTCTGTCACTTTACCTTGTGCTTATGAGTTGTTACAGCTGCAAGTAATCTGGGATTATCTAGTCTAAGGGCTTTCATTATTTTTAAATTTAGGAATGACACCCCCTTTAATTTGTGTATTGAACTGTTACGTAAAATCCCAGTATTTAAGACAGTTGCAAAAAGAGCTTCTCTTTATTGCTCTGATTGAAGTTGGAGTTGGGGACTTAGAGTACTGGTTTAGAAGTCCATTCCCCTAAACCCAGAGATAGCCTGTGAACTACTTGGTCTAATTTTCTTGCCCCATCACAGCTTCAGTTTTACCCATCAAAAAATAAAGTGTCAAAGAATAAGACTGAGGGACCAGCAGTTGGCATAATGGCTACGTCACCAGACTCCCATGTAGCCGACTGCGGTTCGAGTCCCGGACCTGGTGGCTTAAACTCATACCAGGCACATGTGCATTGTGTGCCCAAGATCCTGAGAGGAGAACGGAGGAGAAGGGATTGTGGCATGACCATCCCCCCTGGGCGGGGGGGTGATTTCTCACTCTCTCTCTCTCTGACTCACTCTGTCTTCCTGGCAAGCACATGCACCCTATACCAAAAAAAAAAAAAAGAGTAAGACTGAAACCTAATTCTGTGTCTCCTGATTCATTCTGTGGTTACTTTTTCATAGCATAGTAGAACTCATAGAATATATGTTACATAAGTTCTAAGCCCATATTACATTCTTTTTATAATTTTCCTTTTGTTTTGGAAATCCTCTAACCTTGTCTCTTTGCCACTGTGACATCGAAGAATAGAAAGTTAGGAAATAACAATAAAAAGACTGTTAAACAAAACCAATAATCTTTCTCCTAATTTCTTGCTTAATAAAACAATAAACATTCACTATCCCTCAAAAACAAAATTGTTTTTTCCTTTAATGACTGAGCATGAGTGCACATACATATGAGAGAGAGGGAAAGAGAGAGAGAACTCCCATCAGGACCTGCTCATGCCACAATCCTTCTTTTGATTCTCAATCTTTTCAGGATTCTGGGCATGTGCATGCACCTGGCATGTTGCCCCGGGTTAAAATTCGAGCTCCAGTCAGCCATGTGGGATCCAGCTTCTTCTGTACTGCTGTACTATGGGACCACCTTCAAAAACAGATGTTTGTTTTTCAGGTATTTTTTTTTTTAGCAGTATCTTGAATTATTGGAATTCCTTACCTCTTTTTTTATATGATAGCTTTATTGAGATATAATTCACATGTTATAAAAATTACCAATTTAAGGGAACCAGCAGTTAGCATAATGGCTATGTCGCTGGACTCGCACATAGTCGACTGTGGTTCGCGTCCCGGAACCGGTGGCTTAGAACTCATGCCGGGCGTGTGTGCGTGCGTGCCCAAGATCCTGAGAGGAGAATGGAGGAGAAGGGATTGCGGCGTGGCCATCCCCCCTGGGGGGTGATTTCTTGCTTTCTGTCTCTATGTCTCTCTCTGTCTGTCTGGCGAGCGCACGTGCCCTATAGCAAAAAAAAAAAAAAAAAACCTCTCCAACAAAAATTACCAGTTTAAAATGTACAGTTCACTGAGTTGTGTAGCCATTACCATGGTCAAATTTAGAATACTATCGTCACCCCAAAGAAACCATTAGCAGTTGTTCTCCATTTCCTACCAGCCCATTTCCCCCATACCTAGGTATCTACTAACTTACTTCCTATTGATTTTTCCTTTCCTGAACATTTACTGTAAATGGGGTTATGTAATCTGTGATCTTTTATGACAGGCTTCTTTAACTCAGCATGACATTTCATGGTTCATCCATGTTGTGGCATATTTTTTAAAGATTTGCTTTTACTTAACTTTAGTAGTAGTACTAGTAGTAGTATTTAATTTGAGAGACAGAGTGAGGGCAAGTGAGAAAGCAAGCCACCAGGTCCAGGACTTGAACTGCAGTTGGCCATATGAGAGTCCAGCACCCTTAACCACCATGACAGTGGTCTTCGGTGCTCTTTATAGTCAAATAATTCTTTGTATGGTTCTACCACATTTGTTTATCTGTTCATAAGTTGATGGACATTTGGGTTACTTCTACTTTTGACTATTAAGAGTTACTACTCTATGAGCATTTGTGTATTAATTTTTGTGTAAACATGGGGTTTCATTTCTCTTGACTGTATACTTACAAGTAAAATTACTGGGTCATTGTAACTCTATGTTTAATCTTTTTAGAATTGCCACACTCTTTTGCAATGTAGCTTCATCATTTTTACATTCTTACCAGCAGCGAATGAAAATTCCAATTTCTCTATCTCCTCATTAATACGTCTTTTTGTTTGTAGAAATTATAATGGGTGTAAAGTGGTATCTCATGGTTTTTTGTTCTAATTTGATTATCATCATCCTGATGACTCATGATGAGCTCTTTTCATGTGTTCATTTTATATCTTTGGTGAAATGTTCATTCAGATCCTTTGCCTGTTTTTAATGGGACTATTTGAATTAGTTGGGCTTCTTAGATATTTACATTAATGTTTTTCATCACAGTTAGGAAATTTCAGCCATTTTAAAAATATTTTTGTTCAGCTTTAACCCGATTTGAAAATAGTCTCAACGTTATCTCCCATTTCATGTGTCAACTCACTCTAGTTGACCTTGTGCCCCATCACCCCATCAGAACTGGTGTAGGTAAGGTTGTAGGTACTTGCTTCTTTCTAAGTTCCTAATTGAATAGCACACACTTGACAGCTTCTTTATTTTTCATATAGTTACTATGTTGGCACTTTCTCCAAAATGTTCTTCCTCATTTGGAGAGAGAAAACACTTTCTTTGCTGATTTATCTTTCTCTGCCCCTCTTCAACTTTTGGGAATTAACATTTCTTCATTTTTAGAACTAAGCCTTGTTTTCCTTCTAAATTCCTTCAATAACTTCATTTAGACCTAGGGTTTTTTGTTTGTTTGTTTTAAGAGAGTTTTTTGCTATAGGGTGCATGTGTTTGCTGGAGAGATAGAAAGTGAGAAATTACCCCCTCAGGGCAGATGGCCATGCCGCAGTACTTTCTCTGTTCTCCTGTTGGGATTTTGGGCACACATACACATGTACCTGGTGTGAGTTTTAAGCCTCCAGGTCTGGAACTCAAACGTGGTCTACTATGTAGGAGTCCAGTGATGTAACCATTATACCATCTACTGGTCCCTATTTTTTTTGTTTTTTGTTCTCTTTCTAAGAGAGATTTTTTGCTATAGGGCATGTGTGCTCACCAGAGAGACAGAGACACAGGAAACAAGAAATCACCCCCCAGGGGGGATGACCATACCAACAGTCCCTTCTCCTCCATTTTCTTCTTGAAATTTTGGGCACACAAGCACACGTGCCCAGCATGAATTTTAAGCCACCAGGTCTGGGACTTGAACCGTGGTTGACTATGTGTGAGAACAGCAATGTAACCATTATACCATCTGCAGATCCCTAGACCTATGGTTTTAAATCGTCTGTGTACTCACTCTCAAATATATATCTCCAGCTTAGCACTTTCTTTATTTTCTCCTCTGGAAAGTTTTCTGTGACCCAGAAAAACTTGCATTTCAAAAGAATAGAAAACATAATAAAAATAGTAATGGCAGTAAGATTATAGGTGATTTATAATTATTTTTTATTTGACTTTATACAAATTTCTTACAGGATTTCAAAGTTTACAAAATGTTTTTAAATATTTAACCTCATTTTGATACACTCAACAGCCAACCTTGAGCTTCTCAAGTCTAAACGTCAGCTGGTAACTAGACTTTCTAATTCAGCAGTCAGTCCTCTATGTCAGGTGTTCTGTCCTGTACCACACCACCTCATCTGAAGCAGAACTTGTAAATCTTTAGACATTTGTGCTCTGGCCATTAGACAGTTACTTATACTGTCAATTTTGATCCTGCAGGTGGATTTGACATGGAAGTAAAAGGTTGGGGTGGAGAAGATGTTCACCTTTATCGAAAATACTTACATGGTGACCTTATTGTGGTTCGGACTCCAGTTCCTGGTCTTTTCCACCTCTGGCATGAAAAGCGCTGTGCTGATGAACTGACCCCTGAGCAGTACCGCATGTGTATCCAGTCCAAAGCCATGAACGAGGCCTCTCACTCCCACCTGGGGATGCTGGTCTTCAGAGAGGAAATAGAGACGCATCTTCATAAACAGGCATACAGGACAAATAGTGAAGCTGTTGGTTGATGTGATCATTAACACATTACAGTCTGAACCACAAACCAGCACTATTTATTTAGCCTTAATTCTTGTTCCAGATGCAGTGCCTCTTTCAGAAAAGACGCGTTTGTTTTTCATGTTCTTTCTGGCATTACTTTTTCAGTCAACTTAATATGAAAAGGAAAAAAATGGTGTTTCATATCAAAGCTTCTGTTTGATGAGACTACTACACTATGGAAAAATTAACTATTGAAATCTGGTGTTGGTCTCCAGAGTAATCTTGAGTTAGTTTCTACCTGGAACCCATGTTCGGATTGCATGTGGGCTTGCAGTACCCTGATTGCGTCCAAATAGAAGATGGAATGTGCTGGGCTGATGGTGGGTTGCACACAGCACATTCCTACAAAAGGGGTGGAATGCTACAAACAGATGTAGCACGTAGATAGGCTCTTCACCTGCTTACCATTAAGTCAGCCCACTTGGTTTTTAGATGAAGAGCTTTGGTTGATAGTGTAAAGAATCCTTTTTTATTGAAACAGATGATAATTAAATGACATATTTAATTATCCTCAACCAATCAAGAAAAGGTAGAAATCAAAGCCCCTTAACTCAATGTTCTACCCGTTGAATGTCTTATTTTTAAATAAATGGGTTTTAGTAGAAAATAAATTAGAATCTAAAAAATATATATATCTATGGCTTGATTAAAAAATGTAATGTATTCTTACATTATCATCATGTTCAGGATTAGTAGTCAAAGTTCTATAGACTGTTTCGAACAAACAAATAAACATGGAAGCATTTTTAACAGAGAATTTAATTATGTTGGAGCACAGAATACTAGCTATGTCTGGAGACACTAGTTTATGTGAGCCCTATACAAGGACCTTCTTGTGGTAATTCAGAACAGATGACTATAGTATGGTTTTGTGTGATTTTTGCTTAGTGTTGTCTCATTTAGCATGGATCCATATGTATTTATTATCCTTTATTTTCTAATATGTTGGCATAGGCTACATCTGTATTTGCATTATTTTAATACTTTTGAGTTGAAAGGTGTCCACTGAGGGGAGGGGGGGAGGGAGAAAAAACAATCTAATGAGTTACACCATAACAGTGCTCTGATTTGGGAGGGGAACATAGTCTGAATGGAAATCCAAATTATAGGATATTCTAGAGAAATACGTAACTTACAGATAAAATGTTGTTTTAATTGAGCTATAAGTTAAATTGATGAGGCAAGGTGAAAAACAAATTGTATTAAAATAGGACTTTGATTTCTTATTTATCATATGTAGATCTTCTACCATCGCTTCTACCATTCTACCATTAGATCCAGAAATTGGAGATATGGTGAAAGGTATAAGTAATTTTTAAAATTTTTGTCTTTTTAAAACAGACATATATTGAATTCTTATTTGTATACAAACCCCTTAAAATTCACAGAAGAAAAATCATTACTTCTTTTTCTCTTTAAGAGAAAATACTACAAATTTCAAATTTCTAGGTGCTACATGGATTCAATTTTACAGTAACTCTCAACTACTTATTGTTACAAGTTTAACTTGGCGTAGTTAGGGGTTTTTTTAATGTGTAAAATGTTCTCTAGAAAATAATTTAGGTCCTTTTCTCCTTTTATACTCAATTATTTATTATGAAGACTGGAGAATTCTGGCATGTAAAGTGAGAGAACTGAGTTAGACACAGTGGTACTGCAATCCCAGCCACTAAGGAGGCCGAGGCAGGAGGATCTCACGTTCAAGGCCAGCCTAGACAACAGAGAGACTTGCTGTCTCTTGGGAAAAAAGTCAGAGAACATAATTATTTGCAAAGATAAGTTGCAGCTTGTGTTTTGAGAGTATACAATGATTTTACTTCTATTTGTTTTTTAAAACTAGCTTTTAATTAAAGATGGAAGCTAAGCAATGGAAACTTTACTGTGTTTTTGATGTTAAACAATACCAATAAAGTATTTTATTACCAAAAATTAAAAGAAAATGTGATAAATTAATTTATTTCTATTTTAAAATATCATAAATATAAAAATATATAACATATAATTATGAACTCTAAAGAATAATAAAGCAACTCTCAATGCACCAGCCACCCAGTTCAAGATATGGGCATTACCAGTGAGAACCCCCTCTATGTCCTTTCTTGATACATTCTGTCACCTTCTCCATAAGGGTCACTATGAGATTTTTATGACAGTTTTTCTTGTTTTACTTCATAGTTTTCACAACTTTGTGCATATCTCTACCCAATATACTGTTTAGTTTTGCCTATTTTCTTGAACTTATACACATTATTTCTCTTTCATTCAGATTTATGTTTTTGAGGTTCACCCATATTAATCTCAAAATCATTGTTATTACTGAGTAGTATTCCATTGTATGAATATATGATGATATTTTAATTCTACTGTTGATAAATATTTCGTATTTTTTTTATTCTGTTGTTCGTAGCTATTTGGGTGGTTTCTAAATTTTCATTGTGTTTGCTTTTGCTATTATAAGCAGTGCTGTCATGAACACCGTTGTACAGATCTCTGATGGGGTGCCAGTATTGTTCTGGAAGTAAAAATACAGTCATCAGTTGTGTACATGTTGAACTGACTTTCTCCAGCAGACTACCTTCCCAGCACTGAACAAAAGTTCACTTTACATCCTTGACAATATTTCATTTTGTCAGGTTTATTAGTATTGACAATCTAGTAGGCTTTAAGGCATGAATTGGAATTATAATTTGTATCTTATTATTGGTTTATTATCTCATAATAGGGAGGAATTCCTAAAAAATACTATATTCTAAATATTTCATACATAGTTTTGCTTTTTAGTTAAATCTTTTTTTTTAAGAGATTTTTGCCTTAGGACACATGTGTTCCAGAGAGAGACAGAGATAGTGAGGGGGAAAGTGAGACATCACCCCCAAGGGGGATATCCACACTGCAATCCATTTTCCTCCCAGGATCTTGGGCAAACATGCCCATGTGCCCCGCATGAGTTTCAAACCACTGGGTCTGGAACTCAAACCACAGTTTGGGAGGTTCAGTGACATAATCAATAAGGATTACATTTCACTCTTTTCTAGCATTACCTTGCTATGAAATCCCTACTTTACCCACTCATCTACAGAACCACTCTGTCATCCATCAGATGTCGGCTTGATTCTGGGCTCTCTTCTGTTAAGCTTTCTATCCCTACACCATTACTATATGTTCTAAATTATTTTAACTGTTACAAGTCAGTATCTGGGGGAGCTTCTCTACTCACCTTATTCTTATAAATTGCCATAGCTATTCATAGCCTTTGTATTTCATATAAATTTTAGAATAAACTTATTAAATTTCACAAAAGCTTTTATAAATTTGACTGAAATCTCATTGAATCTGTAAGATCATTTTGGGAGAATAGACATCTTTATGATATACAGTCTTCCAGTCCTTAAATATGACTTAATGTCTTTCAATTGAATTTTTTTGTTTAAATGAATGAAGTCACTCTTTATTCATGATAGAGCATGTGCATGTGAGAGGAAGAACAGAGCACCTTCCAGAACGTCAGGTCATGTACAGTTCCCTTCCTGCAGTCCTCCAGCTCTCTGTATCCTCGGCACTGGTGCAAGAGCCCAGCATTTCAGGCTGACTTGCTGGGATTGGAACCACAGTCGCAATCATAGTATCAAACTTCTCTTGAGCGTCACATTGCTGTTGTGCCATTGAGCTGGCCCTCGATTTTATAATTTTTTACACAGTGGACTTAACATGTATTATGTTCAAGATTCTTCCTAGGTACTTGGCTTTTTTGATGCCATTGTACCTGTCTTCTAGTTATTTATTTATATTGACTTGCTGGCATTCAGAAATCGTTGAATTTTGCATGTCAATTTTTGTGTTCAGTAACCTTGCTGAAAACTAAAGATGTAATAGAAACTAAACTCTCACCACTCAGATAAGTGACATGGTAGTATAAAAGAAAAAAAAAAAGCAACTGACATTATAAATACATTATTTGAAAGTAGTTTAGTCTCTATTGCATCTTTAGATCTTTCATTTCTTCTCTGCTGGTTAGGAGTTGTCGCACAGCATAGACACACATGTTCATAGTGGGCTCTCTACTGTGTTTGTTTTTGTGTTAATTATGATTTCTGATTGGGCTACAGAATGGTGTTTAAGGCATGCATGTAGTATGCATACAATAATCAAATCAAGACTCATGTCCCTGATTTTAAGGGCAACACATTCAGTATTTCTTTCATCAACGGGACCACCAGTTAGCGTAATGGCTATGTCGCTGGACTCCCATGTAGTTGACCGTGGTTCAAGTCCTGGACCCAGCGACTTAAACTCACGCTGGGCACGTGTGCATGTGTGCCCAAGATCCCGAGAGGAGAATGGAGGAGAAGGGATTGCAGCGTGGCCATCCCCCCTGGGGAGTGATTTCTCGCTTTCTGTCTTCCTGTCTCTGTATTTCTGGCAAGTGCATGCGCCCTATATTAAAAACCTCTAAAAAAAAAAAAAAGTATTTCTTAGGAAGTATGATGTTTGCTGAAAGTGTTTTGTAAATCCCCTTTGTCAGGTTAAAGTTCCCCCTATTTGTTTGTTTGTTTTTGAGATTTTTGCTATAGGGCACATATGTTTGCCAGAGGGAGAGAGAGACACAGACAGAAAGTGAGAAATCACCCCCCAGGTGGGTGGCCACAGCACAATCCCTTCTCCTCCATTCTCTTCTTGGGATTTTGGGCACACACGCACATGCACCCAGTGTGAGTTTTAAGCACCATGTCTGGGACTCTGACCACAATTTTCTACATGGGAGTCCAGTGACGTATCCATTATGCCATCTGCTTTTCCCTCTCCTGCCGGAGACCCGCTCCAGCCGAAGTGGGTTGAAGCTTGTAGGAAGGCCATGCAGGTGAGAAGAAATTCAGGCAGAGACCTCTATGCCCTTCAGCATGTTCTCAGCCGACTACAGTCAGAGCGAGCTCAAGACTGCAGTGTCTGTGGCTAGGAACTTACATATTTATTGAGGGATGTCTTACAGAAGTAGGAGGGGTGAGGGGGAAGTAAAAGATTTTACTCTAACAAAGTATTCAAAGCATAGGAACAATAATCTTAAAACATGATGTCTGTTTTGTTTAGGTATAAACAGTCACAGTCCTCAGGGCGAGGGAGTCCATTTGTCTAGTGCATTCTCTTCTTAGATCTTGATTACTGGGAAAGGTCTTTTGGGTGAGGGGGCTTTCAGGAAGCTTGATAACCTCAGTCCCAGGCCAGCTTGGTAACTTCAGCCCAGGCCAACTTGAGAACTTGCCTCAGGCTAGGTTGGCAGCAGATTGCCAGTTACAAAGGCCTAGATAAAAATCTTATCTGATTAAGTAAAGACAAGTTTAATATATACTACAGTGGAATATCTATATTATCTCTGGGATAAGCAGCTTAAGGACTGACCTAAAGGTTATTGTGTACTTGTGACCCTCTACTTGCCATTCTATACAATGGCTATGGCTCAGGGGAGTGGCAATTTTTCCTTGTCCTGAGATCAAAGGTGACTCATGGTCTTTGTTTGGCGTATCAGTACCTCACAGGTAAGCCTCTGAGCCTCTCCCAGCTACTGAGGTCGTTTCACCAACTTTCCATTAACCCAGACCTTTCTAATGCTATCTATGTAATCACCAGTAGGAGAAGTGAATGCATCATTCTTTATTGACATTTTCCAGGCAGGTGGGGTGAGTCTCACAATTCCCATTCACTGCCGCCTTAGGGGTCTGCATTCTTTTAGGATTATTGTAAAAGTTACAGTAAGGCTGGGGGTGTTATTTTTACCCTTATGGGGTACCAGGGTACCGTAATGACAGTTAAGCCCATGGCAGAGAGATTGAAAGCACAAACCAGTACAACAAACACAGTTGAAACCTTGAGCTCGTGGCTGCGGCCTTGCCTGCAGTTCCTCTCAGCCAAGCCTTGCTTAGACATGAGAGGCAGCTCTTTATATTCTGCCTGTGTTGGCTGCATGGCCTCCGCCACTCTCCATTTTTTTTCTTTTTTTCTTCATTATTATTATTTATACATTC